TAGCCTTGTGGTTATTACAGACAACCTGTACCTTCTTTTCATTTACCTGCCTTAGTTTATATATTATTAATAACTGTGTTTTTATTCTATTTAGATTTATTAAATTATCTTTTTTGTATATATACAAACAAATATGGTAAATCCTGATAAGAGTGGTACAAATAAAAATAAAAAAATTTACTTTTTTACCTAAATATATATTTTTTAATTCTAATGTTTGTGGTAACTAGCTCCATTAGCTTTCTAGTTATTCTAGGTAACCAATACCCTTACATTATTAGCCTTGAGTTTTACATACACATTCCTGGAGATTGAACTTGTGTTTTTTACTCAAGATTTTGGCAAACGAGAAAATATTTCTTACACAATTCAGGTAGTTTGCTGGTTTCATTGACAAGTCCTAACACTCTTGTAATGTCACACAACAGTTACTTGTTCACATCTAAAGTTTTCAATGTTTTTCTTACTTTCTTTGCCTTGCTATTCATATAAAAGTTTTATTCTTTACACGAGAACTATTTTTTCATTTTTTACAGTATATTTATTGTCTAACCCTTCATAGATAGGTTATACAATGCATTTGATACATAGGCGAACTTCAGTAGGTGAAACTTATTTATGTAGGCAAACTTAAGTAGGCGAAAGTTATGCATGGGCGAAACTATCGGATACTAATGATCGCAATCAAATCATGAACAACAATGAAAATCAGGTGCAGATCGCTGACAATTGGTGCAATCAGCTCCCGATCAAATATACACATGTTTCTGGGCTGTACTGTAAGCCAAGCCCCCCTGAATATAAGCCCTTCCAGTTAGTAAATCTTTTATGAAAGAGTAGAAGTCCAGGGCTTATGACCAGGGTTGTACAGTATCCACCCCTCTTGTACATGTTCTACGACATGTAACTGCTCTGCCCCAACCACATGCATTCAGACTTAATTATAAATTATTCATACACTTTAGCCTTACAACCCTATGTATGTATGTTCCATTCACTGTCATAACCCTTGGTTTTACCACTGTCTCTTTATTCACTGTAATCAATCAAGCAATGCTTAGGCCATACAAAAAACTAAGTATGTTTCCTATTGCGCAACCGACCCTAATTTTCTTGCCGATTTTTTCCGACCCTGATATWTTTTTCATTTCCAAATGTACCACAGGGTTCCCTCATTTTCACTGTTGTATCAGTAAAAAAAATCCAACCTACCGACCCCAATTATTTTTCTCATGCAACAGGAAACACACTTATTTTTTGGTTTAGCCTTAAATTGATGTCCACATGCTAAGCGTATGTACTTTGAGTGAAAATATTTCTTCGCTAAAGTCTTTTAAAACTTGACAATGTTGAAGCAAACTATCACTAAACATCACTAAACTGTGAGCATTAATTTATAAACAATCAAATGATATTCAAAGAAAATCATTCATATTTCAAAGTGATACTATGACGAAAATCGCTCAAACTTGGATTCAGCTGAAATTTTGTAGTTTATGATATTAGTAGTAAAGGGAGAAAAAAATACCCAAACACCCCAAAATATAAATTATAGTCACAAGTAATGTGAAATAAGCACATTAGCCACCCTTTGGTCTTCATAGGAATAAAATAAATTAAGGATTTATATACAAAGAAATATATGTAGCAATGTTTGATGTTGAGTGTATGACGTCACAGACTCCAAAAAATAATCGTAAAAATATCATACTTTYGTCCTGAATATCGAGAAAACACTTCATACAGTGATTATTGGACCTTTAAAGAGTATTCTTAGGAAGTTTCAGCGGAATCCAAGTTTGAGCGATTTTCGTCGTAGTAGCACTTTAAACGTTTACATAAAAAATATTACAATTTTAAAGACAGGCAGCACTCACTCATGACACCTTCCACAGCCAATAGTGATGTTTTGCCCAAGAATGTTTACTATTTTCATGTGTAAGAGTAGTGCCTATTCCAAAAAACAGTTCATATGATCTTAGAAAAAGTGGTTGCGTTATGCCAGCAATTAATACTAATTAAAAATAGTTTTCCTAATAGATTAATTTTTAGATATTTTTAGTGCATTGATAGAGTGTAAACAATTAATCCGTGAAACACTATTTACTAAATAGTACAAAATAGTGCTAACTAAACAATAGACAACAATGGAATTTGCATAAAATTGTGCTATTTAGTGATACTAAAGTTTCACGGTTAGAGTGACCACAGTAAATCCGTGAAACTTTAGTAATACTAAATAGCACAATTTCATGCAAATTCCATTGTTTTCTATTGTTTAATTAGCACTATTTTGTACTATTTAGTAACTGGTGTTTCACGGATTTACTGTGTTCACTCTATATTGTTTGCACTCTAGTTTTATAGTAGTGTTAGTATAATCTTAGAATTCATTTATGTATCTTTGTTGCGCATTTTTGATTTGTAATTAATCAATTGAATAGAGTTATTATTATTATCATTATTATTATTATTATTATACATTAACATACCAGCAGATATGGTTAGCAACAACACCGAGGGAGCAAAGTAAGTCCATCGGTCCATCGTAATCATCTCCAGATATTGTTCCTCACCTGAAATGTATAGACAAAATTCAAATTTAGTAAAATCATTTATTATACATTGATTAGTATAAAAACTGATTCCATAAGTCAGTCTAGGTTGAATTTTTTGTGCTAACGAGTCCAGTGTTTAAGTTATCACTCACGATGACCAGCCAAATTAGTTTTAGCTCAGTCATTGCAGGAAACAAAATTTCAATTTTTTATTTATAAATATTGGAGAGAATTCCTAATAATGAGAAAAAATGGGGGAAAACTAAACCCAGACTTGGTAAATTATTGGGATAAATCTTATGGATGACAATAGGCACTTTGCAGTTAACGGTCACATGTCTGTACTGGACTGCAAAATTTTTGTTTTTATATTAAATTGGTGATTCTTTTTCACTACTTGTAAAGAACTGAATCAAACGATGTGTAACCAGTGTGTTACAAAATGCAGTTTTATTACAATCTCTCGAAACAGGTTGTAGAAAGTTTGTTTGCTCACCAGTATATTTCACCCATGGGAATCAAGATGTTCATTCATTTGCTCTCAGTGAATTAATCAGCATGTGATTACTGAGATGCAAAGGGCCTATTATTCTCCAATAAACACTCACAAATTTATGGGAATTTAATAAATGCAGTATGTTTATAATAATGGGAATGGAATGGGAATTTATTCCTACAGAAAAACCCAATGGAATAAAATATAATGGGATTCCAATACTCCCTTTTCTTTTTCACTAAAAATACTGCTGTATCTTATAGCTGAAGACTCAGTTGTACAGGCTTAGCTTCATTTAAAAGCAAACAATTTTCAAAAGTTGATTGTACCTGTAATGTAAAGAATGTACACCTTGAACCATGCTAATGTGTTGAAAATCCCACAGAATTTTAAAGTGGCACTTGGATGAAAATCAATAAAAATTAGAAATGACTTGAAACTTGTTTAAAAGTATCTATATGGCCCAGATAGTAGACAAGCAACATGTTTCCTTCACAGTCAAAAGTGGCGGGAAAAAATTATCAATTTTATTCAGCATCGAAATTGTGAGTAAATGACGTCGTTTACTCAACCCTACTGTTCTTTTTGCATTTAACCCAAAATATCTTATCTGCAAGTGGCTCCCAGGCTAAAATTTTCACTAATCAGATTTCCATAATTATAATTGAGTCATATTGTCCTCAAATACTTCAATTATTTGCACTTTCAAAAATTGGGGCGTTTTCATCCAAATGCCCCTTTAATTGTATCTGTCAATATCTGACTCGTAAACAAGGCTAAGCTTGTACAAATAAGTTTGTGGTCTTCAAAAGCAGTGGTATGCATTCAATGTGAAACTGGTGTGTTATGGGAATGGAATGGTTATTTAAAGTGCTTTTGACCCCTGTCAACTTTCAGAATTGATTCTACCTAAAGTGAATAGTTGAATCTTAAAAACATTTCTTTAATTTGAATGCTGCATCTTTAACTTATATACTTCCATTACATTAATGACTATGACCATTTACCAGGCTCCATTAAATGTTTTCAAGATAATCAGCATTTAATAGATTCCTACGCTCAACTTTTTAAAGCAAAAATTTTGCCACCAGAAATGATCAGAAAAAAATTAAAACTCACAAGATAACATCTCTTTACAGACTCCATAATTGCACAAATGCCGGCAAGTGATGAATCATTCTACAATACTACATGGATATTCTTGACAGAAAGACAACGAAATGCATTGATTTATCAAGTTTCATCCTTTCAGCGCCCTCCAAAAATCTCATAAAGTCAAACAAAAATTCCTACAAAAATCTATAATTTTTGTGTTAGAAAAATTAAATTTTCTATAGAATAAGACGTAACATATGTAGATTTTTAGAAGTTTTTTTGAATAAGCTTATAAAAAAGTATAGTCCCGTGTAAAGTTTGAGGGTGTTGCCCTCTTAAGGTTCAAAACATGTATGGTTCTTCATAAAGATTATTACCACCGTTTGCATTACTACGCGGCCACCCCAGGCACAAATCAGGTCGTTTAGTTTGCAATAGACTGCCGTCGATCAAACACCTCATTCTACTTGCATGTACTTAAACTCATTGCAATCGCTTTCGGAACTTTCCTTCGTGATATCTGACTGTGAAAGTTTGATAGAAAAGCCAACTCACTGATCCAAACGTGTATAAATGGCATCAACATGAATGATTGACAATAGTCTATTGCAAACTTCACGACTCAATTTGTGTCTGGGGTGGCCGCATTGTAATGCAAACGGCGGTAATGTAGATTATTCAGCTGTTTTTGACTCCGCACTCACCAATGGACTCAAATCGAATGTTCAAAAATAGCCAGTCACCTTAACTGGTTCTCGAAAAACACATGTGTTGAAGGCCGAAGCTGAGCGGTCATGTTCGTAGACTCGTTTGCATAAATTCAAGATGATTGACAGCTCAGAAAAGACCAAAATCTAATCAGGGTTTTGAAACAGCGGGTCAAAGCTGAGCAGTCGTGTTCGTAGACTCGCTTGCATAAACCCAAGATGATTGACAGCTGGGAAAAGACCAAAATCTAATCAGGGTTTTGAAACAGTGGGTCACAATGCAACGATTTTTGCTGTAAATCAAAAGTAAAATCTCTCCAATATTTTGGAAAAAAATATTTTTTATACTACTTCGTATAAAATATGTTTTCTATAAGCTTAATTATTCTAAGAAAAAAAATATTGCCACAAAACATAATATGCCTACAGAAATTATTCTAGTGTTGGCTTTTTGTTCTCAGGGAGGAGTAGGTGAGAAGAGGTATTGGTCTTCAAAGTACGAAGAAAATTGGTTTTAGAAATTCTTCAAAATTAAAAGAAAATTGAACAAAGATATTCCAAAAAGTATTGATACACATATTTTAACTGTTCAAAGATAAGAAAACAATCCTACGAACACAAAATGCATGTTTGAAAACAAGTCTAACTTCGACAACTTCACACGTGCAACAACAAACTCTCGCTAACTCAACGAAAAGGCAACAAATATCAGGGGTAAAGGCCTACAGAGAAGCAAAAACATTTAAGCTAAATCTTACAAGAGTTATTTTTGAGCTGCCGAACGTTTCTTACCGTCTAACAGCAATGTTTTTCGTCCCTTTTCGAGCTATTTTTCCTCCAATTTTTTTTTTTGCTTGTGTGCGACCGAAGGGGCTGATGGGACAAGTGCATACCCATAATACCATACACAACTATTTAAATACCGCAACCAATCAAAACGCAAGATTCCTAAAGTTATTTATCTTTATTATTAGTTTCTTTTTATTCCATAGAATTTTTCCCTTGCATATGGCATGAAGTCATTTATTAAATTTATTAAAACCGCGAAATAGATATTAGACTAAGGCTGCGTTCATAATGTATGGCAGATGGGAGGGGGGGGGGGTCAGGTTAAAATTTGAAATGCCCAGAATGATTCTTAACACCCCCCTTAAAGTTATGCAAAAAATACGATCCACTCTAAGCAAGGCCTGTAGCTTCTTTCAAAAATTGTGCATTCCCCCCATTTCTGATAAAAATTTGCCCATCCCCCCTCAATTTCACCTGCCCCCCTCCCTCTGCCATACATTATGAATGCAGCCTAATACACATTAGAGCGTATTCTAAGTTGACAAACAGAATTGTATAAATTTGTGCAACATCTCGTACTAATTTGTTCACGTTTGTGAAATTTCTTATTCTTTTCGCGATATATATGGTATGCACTCTTGTAGACCCTAATTGAATTGTTATCTTTTGTGCATGTTTAACTATCACATGTTGACTAGTATTTTTTTAATTCACAGGTAAAATGCCCTCTTCCTTAGCTTATTGTTATTTTGTTTTAAAAATAGGGGTTTGAGCTCTGACCCCTAACCCTAACCCTATAATCCTACACCCTAATCCCAACCCTAAAACAAGAGAATATTAAGTACTATTTAATATTCTATTGAAGATTGAATATTATGGATTCATTGTTTTTGAAATGATTTTTTAACTATTTTTTTAAAGCCTTTGATGATAATTATCTTGTCAGCTTTGTTGACTCGCGGCAAGAGAGATTTCAATAGTTTTTCATATACTGGTCTTCAAAAAACCTGTTAAACAGGAATTCTACTCCACTAAAAAAAAACGCCAAAACTCATCATTTTTGCAATGTTTTCAATTTTTTAACTATTTTTTTTAAGCATTTCAGGATAGGTTTCTTGGACCATTTTCACACTTTTTCCAAACTTATGCATTATTTATGAAGAATGCAAAATATTCACACTTTCAACCATCAACGGCAATAATGGCAGCAACAGCAACAGCAACAGCAACAGCAACAGCAACACAGAGGCATTTCCAGGGAGGCCTAGTGGGTCACATGATAAGTTTGACTTGCCAATGTTTTGAAAACGAATTTTGACCCCCCCCCCCTTCCTCAAGGCGATAACCTATGCCTCTGCAACAGCAGCAGCAACAACTGCAGCAGCTCCATGCTATAACATAGACTTAACTACTGGTGGTAACTATCATTAGGGACTGTGGAGCTAGGGGAACTGAGAGGTGAGAGGCTGGGGCCCCCTCCAATAATTTTGCCACCATTTTTGCTTTATTTGCCAATCTTATATTTGGTATAAAATTTAGTATTCGGAAGAGATTTCTGAAATATTACTCCCCCCCTCCACTCAATTCAAAACTTACTCAGCAGTCCCTGATCTTATCATGATTAAGATAGTGGACTATCATTAATAGATATTCTAGTCAAGTAGTATTCATTTAATAAAGAAAATTATCTGCAAAGCAAAGTCTACAGTAAAGTTATACTTATGTAAAAATTGAAGTCTATTACTCAGAGATTTAAAGCCGACATATAAAGGATAAAGCTTTCGGCCAATTTCCCATTTCTCGTTGTCTTGGAAACCCTTACAGGATCACAGGAAGAGCGATATTGCAAAACCATGTTTCGTAATCGTTGTCCTTGAGTACACACAGCATCTGGTTCACAAATTTGACTGATGTTCAACTGACTTAAATATTTACAACACTCAAGAATTATTCTCACACATTCTTTGGTTACATTCCAACAGCCAATCAAATCCAGGTATGCTAGATGACGACAATTTTGTCCAAGTAATACAATGGATTCATCAGTAAGATGAATGCTGGATTGCAAGCCTCGGTACGATATGTCCAAGTATTGCAATTCATGGCAGTTTTGTGCAATAAACTTCATGCCAGTGGAAGTTATCCTATGACAGCCTGCTAAGCTGATGAAGGTGAGATTGTGACATAACCAAGTGATGTGTTTTAAACATTCGTCAGTTATTTTCGTACAGTATGACAAGTCTATATGTCTAAGGGGTAAAGAAACTGTTGCATTGCATCTAAAATCAAGGTTACACATATACGAACACACTTGCATATCTAGATGACAAAGTTTCATGCAATTTTGTGCAATGCTATTAATGCCGATGCTAGTAATTCGTAAACATTCTGTCACATCAAGACTCTTCAAATTCTTACAGTGAGCAGCCACTACCAGGATTGACACATCTGATATCGCAAGACACCCACTGACATTTAAGTGGCTGAGGTGTGGACAGCTGGTTGCAATAGCACTAATGCCGATATCCGTAACTCCCTGACACCACTTAACATTAAGATCTTCCAGCTTAGTGCATAGGTCTGCAACAGTCTGTATTGCAACATCTGTTATATTACCCATTGGTTTTGGAAGCTCGCAGCCTGCAACACACAGAAATCGCAGGTTGGGGCAATGTCTTGCAATGCTCTCAATTGCAATGTCAGTAATACACTGGCATGCCATGACGTTTACATGCTCCAACAGTGGACAAAATTCAGTGAGGGCTATTATACCAGAGTCATTCAACCCAGGGCAATGTGAAACGTCTAATACTTTCAAACTTGAACATCTGTTTGTAAGAGAATACATCATAGTGTTTGTAAGATCCAGGCAGTTTGGCAAGCCAAGCTCTTGAAGCCTCAAACTGACATTCGTATTAGAGACTCTGAAGATATCTTCAGATAAAAATGAAGCATTTTCACAGTGAAAAATCTTCACTGTACTTGACATCAAATTACGAATCAACTCAGGGGATATTTCAAAGGTGTTTTCATATTCCTCGTCTTGTTCTTCTTCAAATATTCTAATTTCCTTTAATTCTGGGCACTTTGTTATAAACTCATTAACAGCTTCAGATGTAATACTTTGTGAATCGTGATACGATATCGTAAAAGATTCCAGATTTCGACAAGAGCTTGAAATTTTTTCCAGTCCAAAGTCAGTCACTTTACAATTGCGAACTTTAAGTACTCGTAGTGTTGGGCAATTCTCTGCTATGATCTCTAAACACCCGTCATCCACCAACGAACAGTGGGTTAAATCTACCTCTTTCACGTTTGTACACCATGAAAATATGTTTTTTAGCACCTCGATGTTTAATCTTTTGTTGTTTGGGAAAGAAATTGTCCTCCAAAGACTAGAGTCTGTGGCCAAATCTCTCCATCTTCTACAGATCAATCGCATCCTGCACAAATTGTACGTCCTTTGCGAAGCTAAGAGACTGAAAATACCTAGCAGAACAGTGTCGGGTAACTCGTTTATATGAATCGTCATCTTTCTTCAATATATTTTTTGTTATTTTTGTCAAGCAAAACTTTCAACTGCAGCCGCCATTTTGTTTGATGCCCTTGCCAACACAGCCTAACCCTACCCCCCATATTAAAAACATGCTAACCACAGGGAACCCAAGTAATTAGAAAATTTTATAATCAAAGTTTCTAGGAGTAAAAAATGTTTTTTGTTTGTTTGTTTTTCGTTTTTTGTTTTTGTTTTTGCTTTTTTTTTGTTTGGCTTGATAACTTTTGTAATATTCTTTAAAATATCAAGCCAAGTGATTTTTCAAAAACTTTTACTTTTTTTTTTTAACTTTTTTTGGTCAGCGGTAGGCGCCGCGAGAAAATACTGGCCATGTAAAAGCCCGAAAGGTATTGGAGACGAGATTGATCTTTCGTGGCTCCGGAGGACTTGAAACCCTTTCTCTAGATCTGCTTATCAATCTTTTTTTTCTAGAAAAACACATTTCTCATTTAACACACTTTCCTTCGATGTATACGTCATAACATGCGTCATGACGTATGTAATATCAAGTTGTATGACATCATTTGATGTTCCATGATGTCATTTCAGCTGTTTCACGACGCCGTCCGCTGTTCTTACTGACGTCATCATCTGTCATTCGACATCATCCTAATATGGACCAATTATCACTCGTATCCTTTGAAGTAAGATCTACAGCGATCATTGTGTACAGCGGATGCTCAGTTTGTGAAAGAACTTTGTATTGTAATGAGTTGAGACCATCTTTTTCGATATGAATGTGGCTTTCTCTTAGCATGGCATGTCTAGAAAGATACAAATACATTCTGAATTCGTAAGTAAATGGAATGCTTTGGGAAGCACGAGTGGTGAAATGCACCACTTATGCGACGCGTATCAACAATGCGACCCGGTTATAGCGCTAGCTAAGCTATTTTTATTATAATGCCAACGATTTACTGACGAAACAAAGCAACTTGGTAGGAACTATTGTGATAATTGTTGGAAAATTAACACCACTATGCTAATGTTTGTAAACATCGGCTAATGCTATATAAAAATATAGCGATAAGATGATCACTGAGTGCTATCTGGGAAGAGGTAGTGTGCAAGGGATTCAAGGGTTTTTGTAGAATAAGTAATACCAAAACCGTATTTGGAATTTGAGAAAATAGCGTGCGAAACATGAGATGCAGCGTGGAGCATAACAACAAAGATTTCGMGCGAAACATTGCCAGTCTCATCCTAGCTCTCAGTCTCAGATCGGGAGTGAGGGTTTAAGAGTGACTTAGTAAGAGCTTGGGTAATATCATTTGCCGTGATTCGTATGTAGCAGTCTTCGTATGACTGTGAAAAGCTCGCAGCACAAATGCAGGTCGTGGTATCACAAGGCATACACCAGACCAAACACATTGCGCGAGAATTTACGTACTCTCGATCTCCATGTAATCAAATACACCGCGGAACACGACATTAACACGGCGCGTACACGGTCACGCCAAGGTCACGGCACAGCCAGACCAATCACATCGCGAGAGAAAAAAACGAGCAAATCAAAATGCTAGAAAATATCACGGTCACGGCAAGAGACGCTTAAGGTGCTGACACACGGTGCAACATTGCACGCAACATTGCAAGCAACAAATTTGAATCGGGGTGACACACATTGCAAAAAAATCACGCAACATCGCTTGTGTCAGCCTGCTATGTTAAGATATTTGGTCAGCAGGTATAAATTTGGTGCAAGCTGATTATCTGGAAATTTCAAAATGTTGCAGGTAATGTTGCAGCCATGTTCACATGACGAAATTTATCGCGCGCAATGTTGCAAGAGTAGAGCGCGATTCAATTTCCGATTTGTTGCATGCAACGTTGCGTACAACACGTTTGTGGTAAACACACGCTGCAACAGTCCTGTTGCGTGCAATGTTGCATGCATTGTTGCTTGCAATGTTGCGCCGTGTGTCAGCACCTTTACGGCAATGAGCTTTTTCCAGTCATACGAAAACTGCTCTACTGCGCATGCTCTATAACGCTCAAGGCTGGTGCCCCCACCCCACCCCCCCTCCCCGTGCTTCCTAATTTTCAAATTATCAACGTGTGTAGTCACCTTTCAGGGTTTCCTTTACTCTTTCTGTGTTTTATCATGTAGTATCGACCTATCTGTTGAGCGGGGCGAGTGAGGCCCAATGATGCTTTCATAACTCTGTTAACAAACGAGACAAACAAAGTGATGAATAAGACGGATCACTCACTTTTATGATCATAAGCGACCAACATTACTACTGCCTTGGTAGGAAAATAACTAGTCCATTTCCGGTAACAGGTAACTCCCCACCCTTCCCCCTCTGCCCCCAGTATTTTGTCAAATTAATCATCTATACGCGTTGTGGGTGGAGAGAGCTACGATACATGAAACTCAATAGATCTTATTCGTGGTGTGACAATGTTTTCCCAATTCAGCGTGACGAACCTCCACAGGGGATTCATTTTCTTTTGTTTTTACTCTTCGAAAAATTCATGAGTATCCCAAAGGATACGAAAGGAGTAACGATGATATCCCGAGAAGTTTCAAAACAATAGCTCTTCATTCCCCCAGAGGTTTGTCGCGCTGAATTGGGAAAACATTGTCACACCACGAATAAGGTCTATTGTAATACGTACAATTCACAACTGTACATGCAGGTATTCATCTTCCCCACCCCATCCCCAGTAGTTACACATCTACATACCTTACATACAGGACACTATCTTCCCAACCCCATCCCCAGTAGTTACATATTTATGTACCTTACATACAGGACACTATCTTCCCCACCCTATCCCCAGTAGTTACACATCTGCGTACCTTAAATACAGGTCATCATCTTCCCCACCCCATCAGTAGTTACACATCTACGTACCTTACATACAGGACATCATCTTCCCCACCCCTCCCAGTAGTTATTACACATCTGCGTACCTTATATACAGGTCATCGTCTTCCCCACCCCACCCCCAGTAGTTATTACACATCTACATACCTTACATACAGGTCATCATCTTCCCCACCCCACCCCACCCCACCCCCAGTAGTTATTACACATCTACGTACCTTACATACAGGTCATCATCCTCCCCACCCCATCCCCAGTAGCGGTTTGGAAATCCATTTGCCTTCAAGAAATGTTCCGGCCAGAAAGCTTCTACTCCACCAAAGATTTTCTTGTAACCCAACCTTAAAGATTAAAGCATAATATTGCTGAGTATTCTACCTCAATCTCGCAACCAGAGCCTGCGTTTCTTTTGGCCTGCGTCGAAGAACGAGGGCTCTGGCATAATCCATCCTTTGGCGCATGCGCAATTTTCCGGAAGTGAAATATAATCAATGGAAATCATGTTTTCAAAAAGGGTTCTGTTTACAAGGAACGGGATCTAAATTTGCACGGCTAAGCGAACGAATCTTTGCTCGGATAGCTCAGTCCCGTGTGAACGGTGCCCCTAAACGTACAACTCTTAGACCAGTTAAACGGGTACCGTGTAAACGCAGCCTTACTTATACTTCATCGTATCAACCGCAGTAGACATGTGTCTTGGTGAGGATGGACAGCTGTAATCATTCCTGTCATCTTCGGGAATCAGATCCACATCATGGAATATAACACAGTCATATTTGTCTTTTTTCATCGCTTCTTGAAACCCTACGTTCATCAGCATGCCACGGTTGAAGGGACTTTTACCTGACTGAAAAAAGTTGAATCAAAGAAAATATTACGCTGCAGGCATCACAAATCGCTATTGGGTAATTGCTTTTGCAACGCGTACATTGCGAGATAAATAGGCATCCGTTTTCAAGTTTTCCGGTTGATTATAAAATATATTTTATATACGCGCGAATATTTTTCCTCTAACAATATATAGGCACGCTAGCCAGGCAATCAGCACCCGCTAGCTATATCGAAATATCATATATTTGTGTAGAATAAAGATTCAGTCAACCGCGCACTTACGATTGTCGTTTTGGTTTACTTTCCCATTCAGAGGAAGAAAGAAGAAGAAGGAGAAGAAGAGGAAGAAGAAGAAGAAGAAGAAGAAGGAGAAGAAGAAGAAGAAGAAGAAGAAGAAGAAGAAGAAGAAGAAGAAGAAGAAGAAGAAGAAGAAGAAGAAGAAGAAGAAGAAGAAGAAGAANAAGAAGAAGAAGAAGAAGAAGAAGAAGAAGAAGAAGAAGAGGAGGAGGAAGAGGAGGAAGAAGAAGATAATGATGATGATGATATAATGATAATAATAAAGGAATAATTCTCAAGGAAAAAGCACTCCTAAAATCCTGTCAAGCATTTTAATGCATTTCATCATTCATCACAGACGAAAGACAGAAAGACAAAGCCTTCGTAGCACTGTCTTACCCTACCTGTTCAATAACGAATATTCTGTAGTCCAACATCTGCCATCTTAGAAACCGATGCATGTGTTTCAGGAACGATGGTAGATGAGGGTGTCTGTCACGAAACGGTATAACTATAGCAACCTGTAAGAGTAACAAAATGAAACAGTTATCGCCTTACGGGACCCAATTTAGAGGGGGGGGGGGTAGGGATTTCTGACATTCACCACCTTTGGACCTGCTATATTAATATGTCTTCAAAACTAATGTATTCCTTAAAAAATTCTCAAAAATCAACATGTGAGTTGAGAGTTTTGTGCTCAGCAAAAACGTACTGAACTGAATTTCAAAATCTGTGATTGAGCTACCTGTGGTTTGACAAGTATGACGTCACCTACCTTTGTGGCTTGACACTTTGTTGGCTTCCAGCTTCCGCCGGAAGAGACGAACGGCAGGTCTTGCTGGGCTTCTTCCATTTTGAGTGCTATTCTAGGCCTGTTGTCGATTTGTAGTCGTCCAACTAGAGAAACGTTTAATTGAAGAAAGTCATGTCTCAGTTTCGTGAGCTCGCTTGGAACAGAGAAGGCAAAATGGGAGAAGAAGGCAGTGCACAGACAGAACTGAAAAGATAGAGATGAAGGAAGGAAAAGGGAAGAATGAAAGAAAGAAAGAAAAAAAGGAAGGAAGGAAGGAAGGAAGGAAAGTAGGAAGAGGAACTAAACTGGCTGTATCTCTAACAGATTGCATATTTCTAGCTTTACTGATATTAATAGCTTATTGTTTGAATAACAATATTCTGATATTCATATGATTAAAACTGAATAAAGTTTGGTTGCCTCGCTTTGATGAAGTGAAAGTTGTGTGACATGTCAGACCAAAAATCTCGCAGAAATAACTATCCTTGTAACTCGAGATTTGGGAGTCATGATACCGAAATAATAACGCTTTGACAAATTTATCTGCAATAAATAAAACGTCGTCGTAAATAGAGCTACTAACCTCGTTTTGGCTGAATACAACGAGTCAATGGGTCAGCTACTTCCAAGCTTTCTAATTCATCAATCTTTTTCATTAATTYATAAAGCCCTACGCCATTGTCACGTATTGGTTTTCTCGTTGGCGGAAACAAAGTTTCATCTTCTATAGAACTTGAATTATCCAAGTCTTCTTTACTCTTGAAATTGGAAAGAAAATCTAAAAAAGCTTCGCTTTCGTCGTTATCTTGATCATAATCCTGTGAAATCTTTTTTGTTGTGGTGGCCTGTAGCGTTTTCAAAATTGATGAAGTTGGACTAAAAGAGATTTCAGACAATTTATTTTTACTGTCTTGTGGATTTTCGTGAAGCCGTTGGTAAAATTCTCCTTTACGATATCCACTGTAATCTTCTTCGTAACTTATGGTTATTTTAGGAAGTTTTTTCATAACAAATCCGTAAAGAAAAAAATATCCAATACTCCCTAAAAACACAACGAAATACAAAACCTTTAAAAGCTGCATCGTTTACGTTTCAGGATGATAAGGTGAATAAATAAATGAATAACGAAGCTATACCACACTATTGTATATATTGACTTGGTTACACGAAATTGTTAAAAAGAATGTACTACGCCGTCCAAGATTGACATTGCTGCAACTCCTTAATCGTCTCAAAAAGGCTTTTTCAACTTGCTTCAAAAAAATTAAAAAAATAAAATAAAAACCTATATAAGAAAAATATGATAGTCATTTCTAATCTAAGATCTAAATTAACTTGTTTACAACACTTTTAAAGCAATTCAACTATTCAACTTTTTGAGCGGGGACCGTGATGATGTTACTACAAGGAACTCTGACACAGGTAGCCCACAAGTGCGAATCGCGTCTTCAAACTTTTTACATCATTCTAGACATTATTCTAAAGCTTCAAATCCAAAACTCACTTATTCAGGTTTTGAATGAATAAAGTTAAGATATTTATACTCGATTTATTGATTTGCTCATAAATATTTTATACTAACGGAAATGCTAACTTCGTATTTGAATTTTGGGTTAGCTGTGGAATTGATTTATAACTGTAGCGGGGGGAAAATGAGGAATGTTTAGTTAGTATTTAAATTAATAAATCTGGTGCTTTTTAAGTAAATTTTAGTGCAAGGGGAAGCGAAAACCCTGCAAGTATATTCAGGAGATGCAGTATTTGGCGGATGCCTTTAAATATGATATTGTTACAAAATTGTTCAGCCGAAAGCCTCGTTAGCTCAGTGGCAGAGCACTGGTCTTGTAAACCAGGGGTCGGGAGTTCGAACCTCCCACGGGGCTTGCTTAAATACTTTTTTTCCTTATTTTTTTTTTAAATTTTTCTTTTCATTTCTAAAATTCTAGTAAGCCTGATAAATTAATTTAAGAGCAAAGTTTTAAAGAAATAAACAAAAGGTCTTCATAAAATTTACGAAAACGTACGAAAAAATAACTAATAAATAAATACATAATTGCAAAATAATTTTTAACAAGAGTTATAGAAACACGTATATTTTGGATAATTCTTCATTAAAAAACTGCAATCAGTAATTTTTTTTTT